AAAAAAAAAAATTAAAAACTTTCCTCCTCCAAAAAATTTTACGTTAGTGGTCGCATGGGGTCAGCACTCAAGCTAGTATCGACACATATGTACGCGACGATGTTCTAGCCGTGACTGAATAAATAAAACGAAGTGTGTATTTTCATATATATTAAATCTCTTTATTATAGTTAACTTTATGAAAGAACTTTGACTTTGGGGTCAGGGCTTAAAAGAGTAGCGACACATGTGTACACGCCGATGTTCTGGCCGTGACTTATTTACGTACCCCGCGGGTAGTTAAGAAGCTAAAAGGAGCGCGAGCACGCTCCAAGCACTCCAAGACATTTTTTTACAACTTGAAATGGCCTTGACCCCGTGCGCCTAATTCAGGGTTATATATTCTAAATTTTGAGGGACCCACTTGAGAAATTTTTACTCAGTACGATTACAACCTTTTGGCCGCTGCTTATATGGAGACGTCCCACTGTGCGGCACCGCATGCCCTTAAAGGCCCTACACACGGATCGATTTATCGGCCAACCAGTTGGCCAACCGCTAGGAGTTAGTGGTAAATAAGCCGTGTGTAGGCAAGTTGGCAAACCTTCGTCAAGTTGTTCATCAGATTTGCCAACTTGTTGCTCTGTGTGTAGACAAGTTGGCAAACTATAATGCGATTTCATTTTTTTAAAGGCGCATCAACGTTAACATGTGTTTTTCAGTTCGTTTCGCTAGTAAAAGTACGTATAATTTGCGCAATTGGGGCGGTAGCAACAATAAATACATACAAATGAGAAGCATTCCTAGCATAGCTTAAAAGTTTACCAGTGCTGTTGTGTTGTTCACAGTTCAAATATTCTCACTCAAATGAAATCGGCCAACTAGTTGGTGCGTTTGTAGGGAATTTCGTTAAGTAGGTTGGTCAACTGGTTGGCCGATAAATCAATGCGTGTATAGGGCCTTTAACTACGCCATCTATCTGTCACACGAAACGCTGTGGACATCACCGATCAAGGCCACTCGCTTACTGGGCCAAAGGTCGGAGGAGTTAGATGGGGAAGATGGATAAACAACTAACTGCTGCTACAACAACAACATAAACAATTTGTAAAATAAGATGTGTATTTCTCGTCTATGGGAGTGACCTACAGTTTTACGCCGCCTCTAATGCAAATGGATTTTATGAGAAGCTTTTTACTTTGTTTATAATTTAGATGTTGCTGGGACTAGGGATCGAGCCTAGGTCCTATGAAGCGGTAGTACGCACCTCTAACCACTCGGTCAAAGCGGCCGCCTAAAATATATTAAAAAACAGTATTTCAGAAGCCAAAAAAAGCTAGAGAACAGCGTAGAAGGTATATAGATCCCAAATTTCTAGCCCAGGAAATAAAATAAAAGGTTAGAAATAGCTTGGAAAAGACTCAACTAGCAGCACTGGCCATCAGTCCGGTCTTCATAATTTATGTATGCATCAGACCAAGGCACGTTCTATTAATGAGCCTTGCATCAGACCGAATTGCGTTTAACAGCTGGTACATCCGCCTGATTAGCTTGTTGTAAAGAGGTTTTTGGGAGTGATGGTGGGGAGTGATCCTTGACCAGATAGAAATCTGGGTAGACTCGACTGTCGTGGGAATGGTCTGATCAGCTCTTCGCCGCTGGCTTTGAAAAGTTCAGACAGTATTTCGTGGATCCCAAGGGCTTTGTTGATCTTAAGTCTTGCTGTGTTATCGTTAGTCCAGCTAAGCCACGTGAGCATCGTTCCTAAACAATGATCTGGGTTCCTATTCATCAAACGCGCGACTTCTGCCCCTATTAAATATGATCAGGTGTACTCTGTCACATTATCCCCGGTCGTGCAGCCATTTGATTGACGGAATGGAATGACCCAGCCAAAGACTGCAACATTCCCCAAAAACTCTTTGTGGAATTTGTATGCTGTTGCAACAACACACATAAGTATGTATTTATACTTAAAACTAAAGTACAGGTTCTAGCTCTTGCTTCTACAGTTTTTTTTTCGAGTACGTCAGTGCGATCAGTGATGGTAATTCACACTGCTGTACACGGTAGCCAAAAGTTTCTCATAGAGTATAGCAAACCAACAAAAAACTAAAAAAAAAAATCGACACAAGAAACGATCATCAAATCTGGATCATTTTTTCAATACCAGTTGTGCGAATCTAAAACCTTTTGTGTATCGGTCGAAATAGTCGGACTGTTGTGATTCTATGTACATACATATATATGAATGTATTTGTGTAGTTCTGTGACACAAAACCGTTGCAATGCTAACTAAAATATCTTTGACATACAATAACTCAAAAATCGAATCGAGGTCAGC